GAGAGGTAAGACTATTAAAGGCTAAAATTTGTGAAGGTAATTATTGAAAGAATAAAAGCCAGATGCAAAATTCCTAAATCATTAGAAGAGAAATGTGAGAAAGAAAACAACAATAAATCTTCAAAAATCAGGAAAGAAAAATGAGAAAAAATATGGTATATAGAAAGTATGAAATTATGTGGCAAGAATAAATCCAAGCATAGCAAAAATTATAATAAATGTAAATAGGTTTAATTTTAGTAATAAATGATAGAAACTTAGGTTGAGCAAAAAAAAATCCATTTATATCCTGTTTGCAAGCCATATACATATATCTAAAACAAAACAACATAAACATGCTAAATAAATGGAAATATATTCTAGACAAATGCTAATAAAAATACAGTAAGTGAAACATTATATGAGTAAAAACATTAAAGGAGCAGAGGTAGCATCATATAGAGACAAAATGCACCTAAAATGAGTCTTAATTACATATCTAAAGGAGTGAATACACATCATATTATTTCATGGGAATATAAGAAGAAATTAACAAAGACAGAGTTCATTGAATAAATACTCACTTATTCTTGTTTGAAAACAGAATAGCATAAGGTCCATCTTTGAGAATGGAGAATCTTAAATCAGAAATATGTTTCCCTTTAAAAAGGGATTCACTTGAATTAATGATAAACTTTTTTTTTCTTTTCTTTTCTTTTACTTTAAAGATGTGGGGTATAATTCAGGGTTAGGTATACAAATGTTCATTATGCAGATAACCTTGTTGATGAAGTGTGCCCCTCCCTCCCCTGGCAGTTTCCCCTCAACTGCCAATCCCACCTCTCTTCCCCTGGCAATTTCCCACTACTGCCAATCCCTTTCTTATAGTATTATGATAATTGTTCAAGGTTCACTTATGAGTGAGAACATATGGTACTCTGTTCTGTTTCTGTGATAGATCACTGAGGATGATAGACTCTAAATCCATTCAAGTTGCTGCAAAATCCATATGTTTGTCCTTCTTTATGGCTGCATAATATTCCATTGTGTGTATGTACCACGTTGTGTATATGTACCAGTCTAGCTTCAACGGGTAGCATGGTTGGTTCTATGTTTTTGCTATTGTGAATAGAGCTGCAACAAACATGCATGTGCAGGTATCTTTTTTGTAGAAT